AGCTTACAGAGATATCAAAAAAGGTATTTCTTAAGCGAAACATATGGTTGGTGTCAGGTAGAGGATAGCTGAACTGCTCTGGATACGGCGAACACCCTGGTCCTTGGATTGTATAGCAGTTGGGCTCACTTTCTGTAGCTTCGAAGGCAGTGCCTCATTGTCCTGTTCATGCTTGCAATTGGAGCTATCAGCGGTTCAGTGATTAAGAGAAATTAAGAAGATCGATAAGGCAACCAAAAAGAGTGACTAGCAGACAGTGTTATGAGGAGTATGTCAGTTGTTTTGGAATAGAGAGCCTAGTTTTACATTTATCCGTGATGTCAGTAGGGAACCACTGCCACATCAGGAGAAACACTACTGAAGATTTACTGAGTATATCCGCGGCTGAACAGCGATCTTTTGTCTGTTGTACGGGCCTTTAATCGTCCGTCATTAGGTTAGTGCAAGTCAGACCTATCTGCAATATTACAAATCATAAAGACTTTCATTCATCTCAGTATAGAGAAGGCTTGTGGTTTTTAGCGTGTTCCCTGCAGTTAATCAGATATTTGGAGACGGAAATGGTAGAAAAGCTCCATGACATCTCTAATGGGATCACTATCCCTATATTTAAGGAGGGTGGACAACTGACCCCGTCAGATATCGCTCTGCAACGAGAATTTATCACCCGAATGGTCACAGCAAGCAGCATAGTTCTGTTTCATTGCATCTTATTCTAATTAACAGCTACGAAATGCGAAAGGTCTGAAGTGACAACCATAAAGTTTTGCAGTGCTCAGGCATTGTAACAGATGAAAATTTTTATCAAGGAATTATGCATTTTAAAATTTACCTGTTTTCTTCCGAATCAACGGTTTATTTCAGGTTGCCGAGACAACAGCTTCCGAAAACTTCGATGATGGCTCCGTTTTCCGCCAGTGAAAGGAGGAATTCTCTTCACGGGGAATTCCAATACACTGGAATTGTGCCGTCTAAACAGTGTCTGAAGGGTTTGCTTCAAACTCCGGAGGTTCA